AGTTTTTAATTTTCCACACTTGTTTTAGTTGTAATTGTGATATTCTAGTTGTTTTACTGTCCTTCGTCGACAGGTTTTATAATATCCATCTATTCCATTTCAATGTCACATATGTTCTCGTCACGATATGGCTGAAATATTGCCGATATGACGTTAAATAAAAACTCACTAATCACTCAAAGAAACTATACGTTTAATGTTTTAAGTAACTGTTTATTGCTTAGTGCCACACCCAGCAATGCATCTGTCATAAATAATGCTTGTCATGTGCATTACAGATTTATGTTACAGACTTTCCAAACTCATATAACTCATATAATGCCACGAACGCGGTCTGTGTTAACTTTCAACAAGGTCTCATAAATCGTATGTTGCTATTGAGTAATAAATACGTTGCCAGTTTTTCCACTACAAACTATCTTGGAACTCGAAAACCATTTGAACGTTTGCCAACACAAATTTAAACTGAAGTGTAAAACACCATAAAACCATAAATAAATGTCTAGTGACATATGCCATGTCCTGTTAGGGTGATAAAACTAATGCAAAACATGGCCATTATTAAATGAGCAGGTAAGGGAATTTCGTTTAACGCCACAGTCATCAATGTTCTAGTGTTATCAGAAAACCTTTCCAGTGCAAGCACGAACATAGACCAATGACAGGATGACGCAATAACTGCTAAAGGCAGATTAGATTGTACAATCCAGACTATATCATGAGTATGTGTTCATGAATCACAACAAATAGTGATGCTATCAGCTGTTCGTGGAAAAAACCCATATTTTGCTGTGGACTAAGCTTCCCACAGATGGCCTTTGGTGTATATATATTTGGTGGCCGAAAAGTGGATAAAGTGTCTGCTGGTCACGCTGAGGACCCGGGTTCTGATTCATTTCACAGGGGCTTACAATGTGTGAAGCCTATTTCTGGTGATAAAGCTGGAATAGTACTCTTGAAGCGACGTAAAACTAGACTCACCCACTTTTAAACTCCGTGAAAGTCACGTGCACGAACGTGATGCTGACAAACCAAGCATCATGATAATAGGATTCGAACACAAAACCATTCTGATTTTGCCACGCCCATGAGCAGTACAATTAATTCTTGCGCCTTTACCGCTTGATCCACCCGTGTTTTCCAGTGGTCAGTGATGAGATAATTTCTTGCGATTGGGTTTAGTTTTCTGGCTTCTAAAATCGTAAGTTAATAAAAGCAACAAGAACCTTTTATAATTTTTGGAAGAAGTCATGGTTAAAAGCATGAGCGGTTGCTTATGAAGCACTAACAAAAGATAACGATGCAGGTGTTTGATACCGGTGGCAGCTGTCAAAACACAGGCAAAGGCGCAATTAATTGTTTAAAATTGGTCACAATTGGGAATTCAGGTAACTGATGTATGTTTTTGTCTCTGTTGAGACAAATTTGGAAGTGTCAACTACATGCCTACCAGAAAGCTTATGAAAAACTGATTCCTATCATGGTTTGGCCTTGATCGAGAAAACTCGTATGACGCGCTTTGAAATCTTCGTAAATCGCCTTACCTCTATGAGAAACATGCGTTGAAACAACCTTTGACTCTTGACTAAGATGTACATTGTCTGGAATATATAGGCACCTCCCACTGGGGATTCCAGATTCCAAGGACAGAGAATAGGTACTCTGAAGCACAGTTATTAACAAACTTGTTCTATTGGCAATTACAACTGACTTTAGTATTCGTTGCTAAATAAGGCGGTGCAGCGTAAATATCAATAAAATGCCAAGTTATATAGTAAATGACTCGGATCTCTGTTGTTGGTATTCTTGTTTATTTGAGCATATATTAGGCGGCGGATTTAGAATGAACGTATTTTGAGTTTAAGGTGGGTGATGTAGCAAATCGTTTGCGTTACTAGATTTGACCTCTGTAAGGCTGCTCCTCAGCCTCTTTTACCTATCGCTTAGGACGACCACAGTGTTGTTGCTGAATAGGCTTCATTCTGTGCAGTGATTGGCTGAATAGCACATGATGTGTACAGGCGGTGAGCGTCGGCAGCATAAATATCGTCCAGACCTTAGCTTGAACGTAGTTGGGCACATAATGTATGCATGCATGCAGCCTCATGTAAGCCGTTTCAACTTGATGTACACATAGCAGGCTTCTAGATGCCATGCTACTATGTGAATACTGTGGGGATGAAATACTATCAAACTCAGAACGTGTAACAGTGTACCACAAGGATGAGGACGTGTGCTATGTGCCACAGAGTGGACATATACCTGAAGGATGTGAACAAGTAACTGTGTGTGTGCACGGTGATAATGTCATATACACCAGACAGAGAAGCATTGTACCAAGAGGCTTTGAATCTGTTACTGTCTATGTCAAAGAACAAGGAGTAATATATTCTATAGGATCCGTAATACTAACAGGTTTTATCCCTGTTAATGTTTACGCCAAGAGAGAATGTAATGATACAGCATCCTGCACCAAGTCATCTAAGCCTAAAGAGATTGTTTCACATCGCGTGTCTGACGTGAGTATGCCAAGCACCCTTTGTGTACCAAATGCACTGTTCTGCTATTCGTTTCTATTAAATATACCAATGTACAAAAGAGTGAAATATATCACACAAATCTAATGACGGTTATCTGGTGACAGGTAACAGCTGAATAATATATTACTACTAATATATAACAGTTTACTTAAAGGTGGTGTTTTCTTATTGTTTTAACGTTAAAAATTATCAAAACTCTGAGCTGAGCAAAAGGATGCTGAGGTGTTGTTTTATAGTTATGACCCAAGACAAACAGTTTACATAGTTTACTGAGAATGTGTATGTTTACCTTTCAGTGAACATATTCCACGCTGTGAGGAAGCAGTCACTAAATTCCTACACTATGCGTCTTCTACTCCAAACATCTTGTACCTAGGGATTCACGTGAAATACCTGTATGGTGTAGGACGAGGTGAAGACAACAAAAAGAAGAAAAGGGGGGAAAGAGACCTTAAACTCCGCCAGCTGTTGGAGAAGGTGTCCGCTTTGAGAAACTCCAACTCTGGATATATACTGATTCATCTTGTTGGTCTGGCACCTGGGGATTCTTTCACTGGCGCTTTCGATGAGTTTGTGGATACAAAGCTCCACGACTTGATTCATGATGGTCAGTTATTTACTAATGTGTACCGGAAGGACAAGCTGAGTGACCACAGGAAGCTTCGTGAGTTCCATGACTTTCTAGTTCTTTACGTCAGTGCCTCTTCTATCGTGACTACATCTGACTTTAACACAAAGATAGCACTTGACGACTGTATTGTTGACATTCCTGCAGAGACGCTACGGACATTTATCAGAAAAAAGAGGTGGATTCAAAGGAGAATCCAACACTGTACCTACGGAAATAAATACTGTACATGATGTTATGACAGTACACGAAAACAGGTCAGTTCAACTGAAAAGTCACTTTCTCCAAAAGGAAGGAGATCAGGAAATAGTTTCCTACATTATTAAAAGTCTTAAACTTACTGAGTACGTAAGTGCATTGAGCAAACTCGAAAATGGTGGTTCATTTCTATATGGCGTAAAAGAGGAATGTGTTTTTAAAACGGAATATGGATACGAGTCTAAAGAACTCCGACTTCAGCCTGTTTGTGTGGACCATCCAGGCTCTTTAAAGGATATATTGAACGACAAGATTTGCGAGACTGTTCTTGTGTGTGACTTTGAGGGAAAGCATCTGACTGAACGAACAGTAGACATTCGCTTTATCCCCTGCCCCCCGAAACTAACAGAGTCGTGTTGCAATGATGGCATTAGAATTCACAATGCAGAAACAGCTGGACAGTTCATTATTCATATTTTAGTTAAACCCGTGAATGGTGTGGTGTTTTATGATCCACGGGGACCATTGGCTTACAAATATGATCCCACAAACAAGTCAGTCATCAGGATGGAATTCCATGAATGGTTCCGTGCTTTCACAAAACCTCGGGGAGACTAGGCATAGCAGAGGTAGCCGATAAAACAGGTAACAGATCTCATCTGATTATTAATTGTTTACTATGCATGTTATGTCGTTTGTCCGGGTTCGAATCCCCACATGGGTACAATGAGTGAAGCCCATTTCTGGTGTCCCCCGCCGTGATATTGCTGGAATATTGCTAAAAGCGGCGTAAAACCAAACTCAGTCAGTCAGTCAGTATGTCGTTTGTGAATGACAATTTCTTTCAAAAACAAGGTTCATAACTTCGTTGTTATAAAACCTCAAAATATATCAATATATATCCTCAAAATCTGCTGGAAAAATAAGTTCACCTGAAATATGAGCGTAAAAGTATGAAATGTAAGATGATCCATGCTTATAAATTGTGTCTGAGTGAGATTGCAATCGTTATTCTAAAGACTCAAGAAGATGTTTGTAAACCAGTTTTTACAACCAGCAAACAACTGCAAGGTGATATGAATACAAAATGCCATTTAGAAAGTGGTCAAATGTAACATGTGATATGTTTGGGATTACACTTTCTCAGTAAAGTACACATTCTAGTACTTTTGGGGTTGTGTCCATCCTGGGATTCGAACCCAACCTTGGCATTTTGTATTCACAGCTTTCGGTCGTGGGGGCTGTGCCAATGTACACTTATCAGAGGGGTACAAAGTTGACTACTAGTTGTCCAACTTCCATTTTTGTGGAAGGTCGCGGTGGCTGAGCAGGTTAGGCGGCTGGCTTTGTGTGCTGGCGATTAGAAGCCTGACCCTGAGGGTGTGGGTTCGAATTCCGGGATGGACTCAACTCAAAAGTACTAGAATCTGTACTTTTCTGAGAAAGTGTAATTCCAAATATAACATATGTTGTAAGGTAATAATCAACTGAAGATCAAAGTCTTATAAAAAGACGTTTCAATCTTCATTATTGTCACGATGTACAATGCTTAATACAGTATAGATTAGACAGACACAATAAATGAATTGCTTCTCTCTTGATAAATTTCCAATACATCATTGTTTTTCCAGGTCAAACCCGTATCATGAAAATGTGGAGGCTGCTGGTATGAATAGTTTCTGTTCCTACATGAATTAGATTGTCATTTGCATACTAAACATATATGTAAAATTTGTGTACATTTAACATATACGAGACTTCTTCAAAATGATTTTCTTGAAAAGACATCTTTGTTATGAAAATATATTATTTATATGTTTTCATTCAACTTTCCAGAATGAAATCGCAATAGAGAAAGAGAATGGGTTTGCCTTGGCAACGAACGACTTCTTCCGACCTGACCTGAAGCAAATTGGAAACAGCATCTTCGAGATCAAGAAATACTTCATTGCCGAAGGTAATCGTACTGTGAGAATGAATTTGTTGATATTTCTGGTCGTGGTGACGACAAAGTCGTTGTTGAAAATCTTCTTTTCTAACATGAGACACGAGGGTGACTCGTAGGGGCTAAGAATCGGAGGCTCAATACACATCACTGAACACTTGTTATTTGAGTTTTATTCATGTTAAAAGAGAAGTTTTGGAAACTTGTGAGTGATATCGTTGTCCCAAAATACAGATGTACATTTCTCTCAATAGGTATATAACTATTCTAACCGCAAAGGCTAAACATTCAGAAGCAAATGATATTACTCTTCCTTTTGCAGGAGGTCGAACGATAACACCATCAAAACTTGAAGACGCTTTAGCAGAAGTGAAAGACTGCCTCTTAAGACTTGCAGAAAACCATGCGTTTTTCTTGGGTCTGCATCCCAAAGCTGAAAAAGGAATAGACAAGATATATCCAAAGACTGAACCATGCTTCATGTTCTTATCAGAAACTTTATCATTTGCTCTGGATTTTGCGACATCATCCCATCCAAGTACTGTCGTGTGTGATGTGTTCATAGCCTTCCCTTCCATGCCAATCATGGTCCTGTCAGTCGTTGATAGGGACGAAGATTCGGAGGAAGTGCTGGTATACAACATGTCTGTGGCAAGAGGTGTCAGAGATAAACTTCTCAGATTTATGGACGAAGATGTGAACTCAATACACGGCGTGATTAACACGTCGACTCTCAAGGACAGTGTCGTATTCAACACTCGCCTGAAGACTCTGGCAAACGACTCCTTTCGTTTTGTTCCAAAATATTCATTGCTAATGAATACTAGAAGACATGATAGGATCCTCACAGCTTTTTGGGCAGGTGTTGCTGAAACGAAGTCGGTTCGGAAAGAAGAAAGTGGAGACATTGATGGCGACTGTCTGAGATTTCTCACCAAAGAACAATGTATCATTCTGGTGGAGAACATCAACAGTAAGGACGTCGAGGTCAAGTGTATGCCCGGTAGTGGAGCCACGACTCTGATGCTGGAGGTGGCTAGGAGACTGAACAGACTGGGGGACACTCTGCTTGTATGTAGGTCACGACAGGAGAGGGACAGGCTCAGGTTTGTATCTTAAAATACAGTCAACAAACGATGTACAAGGACTTAATTATTTTCTGTTTGTGTCAGTGACTTAATGTTAACCATTTACAGGTCCGTCTGTCCATCGGCGGTGTCCGTGAATGACCTGAGCCGTCTTGATCTGTCACGAAACATGAACATTGTTGATGAAACAAACAGTGTCCCCCCTGAAACAAGGCGTCACCGTTGGCAATTTACAAGATGTAAGTATCCATATATCAAAATGTACTTCATTTTTTTAAATAAGCTCACATGCAATAACCTCCTGAGCATTGTGTAGATATTCTGTACTTAATCACTGATTCATCATAGATATGCACGATGCTTTTAAATGGTCTGTTATAAATAAACTACTCTACTAATTATGCATAAGTTACAAGAGCGCTTTTTGTACTTCAGATGTAACTGATATCAAGCAGTTCGAGGACAGGAAGTGGCTGCTCGAGAGGGTAATGTACAGTATAGTTTTGTTGTGTACATAAACTAGTGGAATGTACTCTGTGTACCTCCATCAATCAAATACTCTTTGATGATGTTCATGAGAAAGATAATACTACCTTATGCATCATTTCTTTAGACCATTCATGATTGTACAAATAATGTAAACTTTCAAAAGTAATTTAAAGTTAATACGAGCTAAATGTAATCCTAGGCAATATTTATATATCCATTGATATCATTCATATTTATTCGTTGTCATTTTGATATAAACAATCTCTTTTAATTGTATATTTCAGGAGATTGACAGTAAGGAGAAACTCATGGATGTATTTGCAAATGGTAATTATTTTACCAATGAATGATATCATATCTTAGCACATAATTTAGAAGTGTGGATTGATGGGTACTGATGACATACATACTGATGGTTATGCAGTGACGCTTTGTGAGAGGTACGATATCATGTTTACTTTCCCTATTTTGTCTCAGAATAAACGTTTTCATTACACTACTTCAGATATATGGATTCGAAAGATGGCATATCTTCTTGGAGACTTTGATGTGCTGATACTGCTGTTCGAGAAGATAAAGCCAGACGTTGTAAGTGCAGTAATAATCTTATTAATCTACATTATTTGTTTACATCGCAATAATTCTTATTTTTTCCTTATCCTGACTCATGCTTATTGCTTGTCTTCTTCTTCTTGCGAACCTAGTGGAACACGTGTATCTCCCAATGGAAGTTCCCTTCAATAAAAAATCACTCATTAGTACTCACCACGAGTTAGCTCCCTTCCGCAAGCGCGGGAACGAGGTCGCCACCTGCACCCATGTGCCTCACTCTCTCCTTCTTCGCCCAGTGAGCTGGACGTGAGAGCGCCTGTGTCTCCCAACACACTATATCCTTTATTTATATTTAGTTTAGTACCTCTTTATACTTAGTATAGAGGTGTTACTAGTATCCTTATTCAATTTTGCATTGATTATTAATCGTGTTTCTGCTGTTTATTCACGGTTCGCCATGCTTGTTCAGCAGTTTACGTTAATGAGAATCTGCACAGATTGTAAACTACGTTACTCTGATACAGACCCACATTTAAAATGCCCTAGTTGCATTACTCCATGTTCATTTGTTTCTCGTTGTAAATTTTGTATTAATTTACCAATTTCTGCTTTTGATAAATATTTATGTTCCGTTTTCAGATGGAAGGCAGATAAATCTCGTTAACAAATCTCAGTCACGGCTAATAGATCACATATTAATGTTCCCTGTCAACTGTTGACTGACGACCCGCAACCGGCTGGTGGCATGCCTGAGTTTTCCTCGGGGGATAAGCGTGGGACACAGTCCGCTATGTCCAAGAAGCAGCCTGCGTCTCAAGATCTGTCGTCTTCTCAGTCTAAGACTAGTAAAGCGTCCACATCTTCTCGTACGCTGCGTACACCCAGGTCTACTACTTCGTCAAAAGGGAAGTCTACAAAATCTAATAATTTTGCCTCTGATATTTTACCAGTCACAGAATTAGCCTTATATGATGATGACATTCCGATTATCATTCCCGAAGTTCGTCACAAGAAACGTCCGGTATCCGCGACTGTCACCTCAGCGCAGATTAATACACAACTGGAGATGCCTACGCTGTCACCAGAAATTTTGACTGAGGGTCCCGTCACCTTCGCAGAGAGACAACCCTCATCATCAGCACAGACCGCCTCAGACGACCTGGTCAACCAAATCATGAGGCTGATGGAAGACCGTTACGGTTTACAGAGGCCCCAGAGCCACGGGCCCCAGAGCCCACCCCATACTAAGTCATACAGGGCCCCAGAGCCCGCCTTGGCTTCGCGTAGGGCCCCAGAGCCCACAGACGCGCCTCCGCGAAGGGCATCCCAGCCCAGAGCGAGCTCTTTGCATAGGGAATCCCAGGCCACCTCCGCGAAGGAGCTAGAGCCTCACCTATTGCTAGAGCCTCACCTATTGCGAAGGAGCGCTTCGCCGAGCACGCACCTTGTAATTCACAGAGGTCGTTCGCGAAGCAAGCGCTCACATGTCGATTCGGACACTGACTCGAGACATTCGCGAAGGACGCGAAGGCTAAGTGGTTCCATTTCTACCTCGCCTAGAAGAGCTTCGCGAAGCCCCCAGCGTTCGCGAAGCCCCCAGCGTTCGCGAAACACCCAGCGTTCGCGAAGCCCCCAGTGTTCGAGAAGCCCACAGCGTTTGCGAAGCCCTCACCGTTCGCGAAGCCGCCAGCCTTCGCGAAGGATATCTTCTCCAAGGTCTCCGTACACTAGCCACTCGTCAGTCCGTTCTCCACAGTCCTCACATAGATCTTCCTATAGATCTAGGACTCCGACATATGACCATACGTCAGAAGAGGAGGATGGTATCATTTTCTCAGATGCTGAGATAAGATATTGGATGGTGAATGAATTACAACTTGCCTCCCCATCAAAGAACGAGGATGCAACTCAGACTTACCTGATGAAGGATGATGATGTGGATTATATCACCTTACCTCCTATTGACTCCAATCGCAGCCGTACCAGCTAAACTAGATACAGCCTACTCCAAATCCACTAAAAGCCCAATCTACTCATTTACCGGTCTTCAATGCCAAGAAATTTGTTGACATAATATGGAACCTTTTTCAAGGCCACGGATATTGATGACAACTTTCAACTTATCTTTGATACCAAGTCCAGAAGTTACAGAGTAGACGATCGCAAACTGGCCAAATTAGATACCATTTCCAGAAGGATGTTCTTCCGGATTAAATAGATCTAGAACTATTAATGAGACTCTCATCACCAAAGTTCAAGAATTCTACAGATGAGGAAGAGAAATGATCTATTCAGCTCTACTCATGCAGAAAAAAGACCACCAATTTCTTACAGAACACCTTTCAGCGCTTACTGAAAACTACTACCATGACGCGTAGAAGTAAGGACTACTAGCCTCCTGCTCTTGGAATAAGCAATTCACAGAGCCTCTTTACACAGCTCCATGGTCATCGCCCTTTCTGGTTTGGTGTCAGCATAAACAAGGTCTCCAAAAAGAAGTATCTAAAGATTCCCAGGAGGAGTTACTCATGATTAGATCCATGGATACCTTTAGCGAACGCCTTTAAAACAGTCAGCACAGATACTCAAGTGCAAGGCTAAGTTCTCAGGGCTACAGAGAGGGATGGACAAGAAACTAGCTGCAGCTAATAAATCCCCATGATTCTTTTTGTCGCCTATACAGCAAATTTAGAGGAGGATCAGCGAGAGGTATGGATCATCCAAAGGTGGCCGTCATTTTAAACGATGAAAGGCAGGTTCCTGGAACCACTGGAGTTCTTCCACCCCAGTTGTCCCAGTACAACCTTCTCAAGTGGGGTGGACGTCTTCAACTACACTGGAAGTCGGGGGAATACTATAAGGAGATCCCATGTATCCAACATCCTACTGCACGGATATCCCATACAACCCAAGCCAAGCTTGCCGTTAACAGCTCAACCTTAATTTAAGGTTCAACGTTCAAACTCAAACGCTAACTGCCTATGTTAAGAGAAACAGTACAGCCCCTGCAAAGAACAAACAGGTCTTCCAGCCCTGGACCCAACGAAACATCGTGCTTTCACCCCCAGTTTTCCTAATGCCGAAAAAAGAATCTCCAGGAGGCATCGTCGTCTCATTTACAACATGAGCACCGTCAACAGAGAATATATATGCAAAACCACCAACGTTTCTGCATGATTAAGCATTTACCACAACTTCGGTAATTAATCTGTCCACTAGATTACATGGTCAGCATAGATTTGCAAGAGACGCAATTCTACACCATTCTGATTCATCCCAGCCTCAAGGAAATATTATCTAAGATTTATCCTAGACGGCAAATAAACATTACAATTAACGGAAGGTACTTCCCCTTCGGAATCACTTCATTCCCTTTGGGTATTCGCCACAGAGTTACTAAGCCTATTGTCTTGATACCTGCTATCAAGTCAAGGTCTCAGGAGTGTATTTTACCTTAGATCGCGATGGGCATACAAGTGGATCCAGATCCACAGCTGTCTCAGTGACTACAGCTTCGAACTCTTTATAATCAAGCTTACTAACTCAATTCTAGTTTGTTAGTACAATCTATTCTAAGCCGGACCTTGAAACCAACGCAGGACTCCGCAAATTTTCAGTATATGATTCCTTTAAGCAGCTCAGAATCGGTTGGGTAGTCCCTGAAGTGGCAGATGGATCAAGATCCAAATAACTGATTCCTAAGCTCCTACTCTCCTCGTTACCACTACGACAGTGGCAGGAGCCTTTGGGACTACTCTACATCAGCCCGCGACTCGACACTCCAGAGGTGTTTCTTCAATTACGTCCATTACAAGTCCCTCATCAATGCTCCTCATCCTGAGGACCCTCTGCACGTTCAGCTTCCTACTAGATTACGTCAAACCATTATCTTACTCTGGTGGACCCTCAAGAGATTGAATGTTTGCGCAGGCGTCTCCTTAGTAGGGAACAAACCGAAAAATACATCTCTACGCAGACGCGCGTCACTAAAAGGTTGGGGAGCCCACCTTGCTGGCAGGATGCAGCGTCAGCCCTATGGAGCAAGTCCAAGAGAGCGAAACGTCTCATAAATCTGCTAGAGATGCAAAGCGGAAGCTATAAACGCCATAAGTCACCGCCAAATATAGTTTAATGCAGAACGCCCAGTTGATGATTCAATAATTGGGGACAATCTAACAGTGGCATTTTATGCGAACAAACAAGGTTCTACCAAGATCACTGAACCTACCTTCCTCAATCGTTGTTTCAGATCACCGTCTTGATTTTAGCCTGATAAATCGTACCATAAGAGCGTCAGAGCTTGCCAGTACATTCCAGGATGCAAAAGAATGTGTTAGCAGGCGCTCTCTCGGCTACGTTCAACCGTCGCCGACAGAAATGGATGCTCCACACAGAGATATTCATTCAAGCCAATAACTTCAAAGCAGATTCCATTGATAGACCCATTTGCCAATGTTCTGATTCAACAAACAACTGACAACCTCGTATCGCTAGTGCAAGACCGCATTAGCAACGGCAACGTACCCAAGCAAGGCTATCACCGTGGAGGGACCTAACGCGTACGCTTTCCCGCCTCCCTGCGTTAATCCCACAAGTCTTGCCAGGTGAAAATCAAATAAAATTGAAGAGCCTCGATCTCATTACTTTAGTCGCGTAATACTGGTCTGCGAGGAACGTAGTTTCCAGATCTCATGCTAGGGAATCGAAAACCAGTACTTCCTTAGCCCTAACTGCGGCACCAATCTATTGATACATCCGCACACCGTAAACAAGCGCATAAGATAAATTGGTGAAGCATACCAACTTCACGCGTGGATCGTACCAAGGTATGTTTGAATAAGAGAGGTTATTCTGCCAGAGCGGGCTAAAGCGGTCACGCTTGTACTTACGTAACTCAACTCGCAACCTGGTAATGATGACAAGTGGCACAGCTCTTTGTCAAGAAAAGGATTTTACAGCCAGATATGCTACACATCCTCAAGTGGCAGATTTCTTATAAGCTTCCTTACGTCAAACTAAGAATCTAAAAGCACTAACCGTGTCCACTTATCTTGCAGCTTTAAGTTCTGGTTGGCAAATCTGCTATGAGAACGGGCGTCAAGTTGACTGTAAAACACCGGAGTTAGTCGCTTTGTTACGAGCGTTCCGATTGGAAGACCAGTGTCGGAAGCCTCCAAGCTCCGTGCTCAAAGGATCAAAAGTTATAGTACTTCCACACCTCACGAGTGGAGGATTACATGCCCCTTGTTATCTACGCTGTCAGCTGGAACCAACCGGGACACAAGACCTGTATTATTCTTTCTTAGGCATTAGCTACTGCTGCCAGGATGTCTGAGATTCACGCTTTGATCATTGGTGGAGAACACGCTTCTTGATGATAATCAAGCAACATCGCTCATCTTTGGGACTTCACTGGGATTTATAGTTAAAAATCAACTGCCAGGGTCAACTAGATTAGTGGGTTAACTCCATGTCCCAGCTCTCTATCCATACTTGGACTGTAAACATACGATGGATCTATCACTTCTAAGTTCTGGTACGTGCACTGAAAATATATATCTCCAACGATCCAAGAAAAGTAGAGGGAAATTCAAAAGATTGTTTATCCCTATATCCACCGCTTCACAGGTGACAGAAGCAAGTCAGTGTACCACTAAATTTCTATTTGATTCAGGACCATACTTCATTGAGCCTACAAGGCTGCTGCTGACTTCAATCTCCAAGAGCTTCTCTTAACTCACGAAATTAGGAGAGCTGGCAGCTCCCAACTCTCGCCTCCCACATGGAAATTGCTCATTGAATACTCATTATGGAGGGATGTTTTGGAGATCCGATATGGTGCTTCTTCATAACCACTATCTGAGATATCACCACCAAGGATGTCTCAGGTATCCACCACTCATTTCAGTCCCATGGTCCTCGCTCAACAGTTGACAGTTCCACGGAGAAGATAAGTCTATCTTACAGATTTTATACTTATCTCATAACAGTACTAATAGCTACATGCTATATATATATTTTTGCTTTTAAGTTTAATTCTATTATCATCTTAAGCTCAGTAATTATGACTCTATATCATACTATATATATGTTTCCAACTCCTAGGAGTTCTACTAATTATATATATATGTTCAGCTTAAATTATCAATCTTTAAGCTCTAGCTTCATATGTTCAATTCATAGCATGTATTAGTTAACAAACCCTAAGTAGTTGGAGTCATTATTATACAGCTTTGAAGCTATATTATATCTTTAAGCATCAGTACTATTACAGCTTATATATATGCATATTGTAAGCTTTATACTTTGGTTCAGTATAAAAGTATTCACTATAAACTCTCAGAAGTTTATACTCATCACATTAATGGCTTCCCTGGTTTACCTTTTAATGTTGTATATACTTTTTATCACCTTCATCACTAAATTGTAATAACCTTTTATATGGCAGCTGATAAGTTAACAGCAGGAATTTCTTCCGTTCAGTGCCTTTATGAAGTTCCCAGGGTTACTACAATCATCTCAGTTCAAAATCACCAATTATTAAAAAATCCAAAGTATATATAATCCCACCCTCCTGTTCCGTCGGATTCTACAAGCAATAGCATGTGTCAGGATAAGGAAAATATGAAATTTTTAGAGTAAAATTAATATTTTATACTTATCCTGACTCATGAGGTAAGCCCTCCCGTCCTTCCCACTCCAAACACTTTGGATTTCTCCGGGAAAAAAAGTGTCGGGTTCAAAACAAAAAAGAGGAGAGTGAGGCACATGGGTTCAGGTGGCGACCTCCGTTCCCCAAGTGCTTGGTGGGAAGGGAGCTAACTCGTGGTGAGTACTAATGAGTGATTTTTATTGAAGGGAACTTCAATTGGGAGATACACGTGTTCCACTAGGTTCGCAAGAAGAAGAAGACAAGCAATAAGCATGAGTCAGGATAAGTATAAAATATTAATTTTACTCTAAAAAATTTCATTTTCTATTTCGCGTTTATTTGTAAATGATGACCATGACGTAGGCACAAATGAAAATTCAAAGAATAGATAATCATCTTTTTTCATCTTTACTTTTCAGCGGCACCATCCTTTCAAGGGACAATATGTTAACTTATGGAGGATGTGAGTATTCCGGAGGATGTTCAGAGGAACGATTTTCCATTAGTCATCTCCCTTTATGTTCACTCTTTGTTCCATCTCTTCCAATCTTTTAGTGCCCGTCTCACACTTTTAGGTAGATTGGGAGTATGCTCTTCCTCACTGAGATCCCCTGAAGAGACCAGTCGCTTGTTTGTTTGGTTAAGGCTTTAAACATTTAGGTCGCTCGCTCCGAATTTCAAACGTCATGTACCATTTCGTATTTAGTTCTGGAAACACAAGAATATGAATATTAAATACTATGCAGTTGAAAGCCCATTTAAGATGCAGTTATTTCAATTTTTTACTTTAGAATTTACAGATGCATGGCTGACTTTATAAAATTCGGATTTGTTTTGATGCCTTTTGATATGTGTTTTAATTCTCTTTGAAAGATATTTCAATTAATTCTTTTTTTCAAGTATTTCCTGCATTTACCTTTGGGTAAACACGCGGTGACAAAAGAAGCAGAGCTGATAGCATGGCAAGAAAGAGTGGCACTCGAGAAGAGTGTTTTCCCGATTTTACGCTCGGTAAGAATCCAAGTCTATGTTGGAACAAACTAAACCATATTGTTATTAGACACTCAGCGAAGCAGACCACATAGGTACAATGTGTGAAGCCTGGGTTTCTGGTGTCCCCCGCCGTGATGTTGCTGGAATGTTGCTAAAAGCGGCGTAAAAACATGCTCACTCACCCAGAGTATAAAGTTCATAGTGTGCTTACATAAATGTATCAGAATCTGCACTGAAACATTGCCGCGACTCAGTCAGTCAGTCATGAAGCAGTCATTGTGGGGTTTTTTCAAACCGCCGTTGTTTCAACTGGGTTTTTCTTGTTTTATTTCAGATTATGGTAAAGGATAGAACCAGTCTTATCTACCAAGACGTGAAAATGGCTTTCCTAGAGAAAGGTAAGTAGACATCATCATGTTTCTGTCATTGTCCATAACATTGCAGATGTAAATCAACATCAGTCGGTCATTTTAAAATGTTAGCATTACTCTTCTCTATCTTCAATGAATATTATATGAAAAAACGTTTGCAGTACAGCTGTTTTACCATCAATATTTTCCAGTATAAATTTGACTGTTTGACTGGACACCTATTTCATTATATTATGTTTCCTTAATTTTGAAATCTGAATTGTTCCTTCTGTGGCAGTTTCACTTCGAAAACACAAACCGTATTTTACAGTCTCAAGAAGAGAAAGAAAGCACAGGAATCGTCAAGCAGATTTCTGAGACCAATTGTTGAACCAACAGAATACGGCAAGTGCATTTACGGACATATCCAGTGACGCTAAAGATGGACAGAAGCAACACAACAAACACATGGCATAGATGAACCGAACACAACAGATGGCGAAGATGAACAGAACACAGATGGCGAAGATGAACTGAACACAACATATGGCGAAGATGAACTGTACACAACAGATGGCGAAGATGAACTGTACACAACAGATGGCGAAGATGAACTGAACACAGAAGATGCATGAAGATGAACTGTACACAACATATGGCGAAGATGAACTGTAATATTAACAGATGGCGAAGATGAACTGAACACAGCAGAAGGCGAAGATGAACTGTACACAAATAGATGGCGAAGATGAACTGTACACAACCAGATGGCGAAGATGAACTGAACACAGCAGAGATGGCGAAGATGAACTGTACAATAAATATATGGCGAACGATGAACTGCAGGCCACAACATATGGCGAAGATGAACAGAACAAAGGTGGCGAAGATGAACAGAACACACAATGGCGAAGATGAACTTGTACACAACATATGGCGAAGATGAACAGAACAAAGGTGGCGAAGTATGTTTTAAAGTCGAACACAGATGGTCGTACGGAACATGTCCGTATGTCCGTGTTCCTCCCACCTGTAATATACTTGACTGACAGGCAGTGTACTTTACTGTCCAAAGATTACTTTTCGGATATATTTTCTATTCAGCAAAGCAACTCTTTTATAGTATCCTGGCTTTAACTATGAATATACAGCGATGCTCTAATTTAATCGTTAATAGATGATTCCTATGATATCATGGAATCAATTGTTTCAGGGAAATCGTCTTCATTTACTTGTACACCTTTTGTAGTTTGTATTTCAAATACATACCTATTCAAGCACCTTCCTGCCACGGCTAAATGGAAGGATTTCTGAAAGAGGTTCTTTCATAACAAAGGTTGAATATATACACTGAAAAAGCCCTACATAAAATAAGGATTGTTTTAGATTCTGAGAAGTTCTGTGTGCCAGGGGAGATAAGCAGAAAGCGTCTCTTCAAAAACGCAGGTGCATTTTGCCAGTTCAGTCTTCCTTCATATAGGGTCTCATAAATTTGATTTCAATCTTTGAAATGGTGTTGCTAAATCTCTTTAGTAGCATTAATCTGGTCAAATAGGGGCGATTGTCAATTACTTTTCCTACCTTACAAACGTAAGTTTTGTTGCACACCACATGCCGTGAATCAGGATAAATATGTATTTCTGCTAATAATCTCCATTAGCAGCGAATGTCCACAATGGACCATTTTCGAGATTTCATTAAATCCACTGCAGGGAAGGGCCGATACAGATAAATAAACACTGGAAGCACTGCTTGGAAACATCCTGAGGACAATTTTCAGGATGGCGAAGGGTCTTTAGAGGGTCGTAAGTAACTGTATCAATCAACAATTAAAGTTGTTTACATTTCGTTGTTCTGTTTCTCTTATGTAGTAGTAATTGAAACATATTAAACACGATATATTGAGCCAGTGAAATAATGAAACATCAATAGCTAAAGAATAATACTGCATTTCTTTCTTCTTCAGGTATGCAAGACACTGAAGATCTAAAATGAAGAATTGATACAGTTTACAATCGTGGGTAGCCATTTTACATATCTATGAATACTAGATATGCACATACATAAAAAATTCCATACAACTAAATAAACTTTCAAACAAAAATAGAACACGTTGATACTTGTAGCTGCTTAATGCTTCTCACCGATGTAACTGATATAATGAGCTTTACATCTTCAACAAAGCAAATCTTGATAACTTTTATACCACCATATGATCACCGCTACGACGGCGGTGATTTTATAAAGTTACTTCCTCTGCAACTGCTTCCAGAACAGCGATCACAGTAGTGGTGACAACTTCTACAAACTACAAACTGACTGTTGACACTCGGCAAGTCTTGAAGTCTAACTTGTATTAACAGAGATGTTTAGAAATCGTATCATGTACAAGAGAATCAACGACTCTAATATAATGCAAATTACCGTCGAGATACATTATTAGAATGTATTTGGGCCATATCGGTATGCATCGATAAAAACAAGTTCAAGTTCTTGTGGAGAAAAATCTTGATCTTTCACTTGATCCGTGTATAAATTTGCATGATCCGTTGGGTTTAATAAAAATGCATGCGATAATTAAGTTTATGCATATTATATTAACTATTTCTTCTGGTCCTTAAGATGAGCGGCAGAACTCCGTGGATCACTTTGATGCGGTACCCGGAAGTTCTATCCCTGTTTGATGTGGAGCTACCAGGAATGTGGCAGTGTAAAATAGTTCTAATCAAGAAGACCAAGATGGAAAGCGAATTTATTAAAAGCGGGATTTAAACATAGATAGAGTAATAGTCTTCACGGAAAAGAATCCAAAACTAAAGGTGTAACAGTTGGTCTCTCTTTACTTCATGTATCTTTGGTTTGTCACGTTTTCATGCTACCAGGTACCTCAAACAAATCCCGTCATTGCTATATATGTCTAAAGATCATATTTGAAAATGCAAGTCAATAGATCCAGGGGCCAGTTTTGGTTAGGTCAGGTCTATAGAGAATATACAGATATGAAATTCTGTGTGTATTATGTCCACGAAAAACACTGCCGTGTGATAGTGTTTACCAAAAACACAATGATAAATACCCTCTATGTCCATATAGTTAAAGTCTCGACGTAACATCTTTGAACCGGCTGGAGGGCTTTGTAAAAACATTGAATAAGTCTTCCCCGCTACCAAACCAAAAACTATGCTTCTGTTCGTTTGTTTGTTGTTTTAATGCCATACTCCAGCAGTATTCCCTCCTATATGGCGGAGGCTAAACTGGAGTATAATCCCTTCAAGCCAAATAAATGTGAATTTGAATGAATGTCAATTATGGGTTGTATTTTACTCGTTACTTAACATGGATAAATATGTAGTAAATGTGGAAAAAAGTCTATACGTCATCGCTACTATATGTATCAACATCGTTCTAACAACACATTCATTCCTGTGACTCCTTCCAGATGGATGTCACACCACCTCCAGATATAAGTTACAGGTCTGATCTCATCAGTTTAGAGTAGAAGTACCCAGCACGGTTCCCTGAAGAGAAAGGCGGGATTTAACTGCACTCTACACCAGCAGTAAAAACACATAATGGCAAGTGTTGTTCAGGGTCGCATTGCCTCCATGATATGGTCTTTTGATTTGTACTCCATCATTCCGCATTTGGCAGAGAGCGCTCCGTACGCATACTGAAAAGGGTTAAGTCGCATTTTAACTGCCTATTAACATACAAAGTGTAAAGGCTATAAGTATAATTCTCAAAGTATTATACTCATAGCTCTACCGCCATTGTGAAGCTTTTCGCGTGTCTTGAATGTCTGCGTCTACTCTATGCATTCCATAAATGGCAGAGGACGGGCAACAACTCGCAGACCTGATTTGACAGCAATCACACCTTTTGAAAAGCGGGTGTGCACATTTTACAAACATAACTCTACCCGAATAAATCTTTTTACTGTAGCACCCTTTGGTAACATATAATAATATATATGTGAAATTTTACGTTTTCGTACTTCCTCAGAACACATTTTCCTGCAAGCTTAAATTGTGCCATAGTTTCAGTTGCTGTAAGCAACGCCATTTATTCAATATTCCGGCAATGTGGCGTTTGGTCTGCGGTATATAATCGAATCTGACCAGACAATCTAATGATATTATGAGAGTCAACACAATCAACATATCCCCAAGTCTCGTAGCCTGGCTACACCCACTGAATTTAAGCGCCTCTGTCGACAAAACATGTATTCCGCGGAAAGCTAAAGCGGATCGTTAAGATGTGCGTTAAGTTGGATTTTCGCCGGTGAAAGTGCTGGATCAGACTTCAAACCAGCGTTGGGATTTTAAACAGTTTCTGCGAGGAGAGCATGTAAAAGCATTCTGGCTATACTTCCTAACGTTTCTCGTTGAATGTCAAATAGACTGCGCTACGGCCTTTATTTAAGAAGGAAAGCTAAGAATTCATCCCCTGCCACCACTTCGAATGATGGCATCTTTGACCTCTATGAGATACGAAACCCTGATTGTTTAAACTTCCAGTGAGAACTAAAAAGTTGCATGTTTCTGCGCTATAATTACCGTAAAAATTTAAACTGTTGGAGTAACTCTAAGATATCCGGTAATATCTGAAGATCCTACTTCTATCTGGTAGGCTTACAGGCAATATTGACACCGAAACCGGCATACCGGGTACAGCATCCCATTGTACTTATTAGTTGCGCGGAGATGGTCCAAACTGTTTCGCTAATTCTATAGAGGCGATAGTCATCCAGATTAGTTGCCTCTTTGAATCGTCTGCATTCCTTGATTGCATAAAACACATACCGCAGCTCCGAAAGCACAAAACAATAATCTACTTCAAGCCATTCACGCAACACTTTTGCCGCCAGTATCTCATGTATGTAATGGCGCTGCTTCTAGAATATTCTACCAAATGCTTTATTTTTTGTGGGTTTGAAATGGTTTACATGTGACATTTGGACTA